CCCTCAACTTTAAAAAACTCTTCCCGCTTACACAGCATACATCCCTAGTGATGCGCAACTCGTAATGTCCATTATCGATTGTCGATATCGACGTTACGCGTACGCGCGACAATGGAGCGCTGACATCTTTACGATCGCGCCCGCCTGGGGAGATACTTTAATGTATTGTGTTTTAATGAAAATATCTGGAACGTTATCGGTGAATTTCATTAGTGTATTATTAGTTTTATCGATATTGCGATTGTTTAAGTAATATATATGTCTGTTTGATTGACTTTATGTCGTGAGAGGTTCTTAATTCGATTGTATGTTTTTTGTGTTTATTAAGTCGGGCCGCGGTCATTTATAAAGCGATTTGAAAGTCTTTTGTTGTTAGAATAGAGGTATTTACAGCGGGGTTCTTTTTAAATTATTCGCAATGGACACTCGATTTTCATGATACACCAAGATTTCCTCCTTAAATTCGAATAGTTTGTGTCGGTTTTGTTTGTAGTTAATAAAAATGTTATTTATTATATAAAAGTGTTATTAGGATGTTGGTTTATTCAGGACGATTGATTCGCACACTTTGTTATATAAAAAGGTAAACTAAACAATATAATTTTATACTGATTTTTATTAATAAAACTATGGATTTTTGAAAATAAAAATATAGAGATAATTTTATTTCATTTTCATTATTTTTTTTACTTTGAATTTAACAAACGGGTATCAAACATATCCGTATAATACTAATCTCTCTTTACAAGCACTTTCGTATATAATATGGGTGTTTTAAGTAAAAGTAAGTAGGCTTTTATTTAGCTAAAGTGTAATATCAACGGCTAAATCAACATTTAGACTACTCAATACTTACGATCAAAAAAGATTAAGCATTAAAATATATTTTTAAACGTGATTATCAGCCATAAAAGTGGAGTACAACTATCATTAAATTTGATAAGGACATTAATGTTATCACAATGAGCCGGAAACGGTGAACTCGCCAGTTCGAAATGGTCGAGGTCATTTAAAAACAACGCACCCAATCCCGATTTCCTCTCAGGCGTTACGCAATCAACGAAATAAAAGCGTTGCCATTAAACCATCGATATCTTTCGTTACGCGGGCGAATGTCTCCTGGAGATTTGTGCCGCCGCTTCGGCGGTTTGGCTCCGAATAAATTTCTATTGGGCATTCTCATTTCCTCTACGAGGGGCTATTCTGTAATGCGGCACGGAGCGCTCGCACGCGAAACGTAATATTTTCGAATGCTGCCATAATACATTCATGTATTCCAGAGATTTGAGCTTGGGAATTGCTATGGGAGAATACGTTGGATTTATTCTGCCCGACCGTTCTGTTTAAACTGTTATTAATGAGAACTTCACAAAAGAATGGGAATGTAGATGAATAAAACATACACGGCTCGCAGAACATACGCGGTTTAGGCGGGGGCCAGACTTTTTTCTCTCTATTCAAACATTACGTAGTACAACAATAACATTTTGCGATATGTTAATTTGTGCATTGAAAACTTCATGTACATTTTTGTTGCGGAAAAATTCTGATTACCGTATTTGGGTCATCAAGGTCCGTCCTGCTTTCAGCAAAAGCTGCGGGTGCGAAGCTCGCGATAAAGTTGTGAATTTTCAGGGATTAATAATAAAATTAGTCATAGTTATTTTCATCCTTTTTAGTCCACTGCTGGACATACGCGTCCCCAGCAGACGCACAACCCTGAGCCACCAGCATTCATCTATAAATATATTATTTTTCAATACATATCATTTGAATTAAATTAGAGATTTACTTGATGAATCATAGTCTTGGATTTTATGCGAGGTCATAAACTTAGAAGTAGTGGAAAAACAACTGAACTATTTACAAGTGTAGATCACATTATGACAAACAGATGACAATTATATGTCTAATCGTAAAATACTCATCGCAAAGGCTCCCAACTACTTTAATAATAACGAGATAAAGGTATCTGAACTCTCTATTTTAAATGCCCATTCCGATAATAAATCCATCAGTCTTCCTCTTCCTGCATAGAACAATCACCAGTAACCATTTCATACCTTTATATGTGATATATTAAAATAATAATGTAATGTGGTTCACCACTCGAACACGTTTGAAACGGAACCACAAATCGATACGATGAAAAGCATTGGAGCAGCCCTAGATGCGTGACGTCATGAACGCCCCGCATTTTCCCGCGTAAAGTGGTCTACGTGGCTACGGGCCTTGTATCTTAGCGACGGATGTAGTAATTAAGATTGAGTCGTTTGCTACGAATAAGTAAGTTGAACTAACAGTATAATTAAAATCCGTCTTTCGCTCGCCCTTTGCACCAAGCGGCAGTTAATACACATTAATTTGCTTATGTATTTATTTATAAAATAATTAAAGACAAAAATTACTTTATACACAAAGGAGAGAGCAATATAGAAATGTATCCTTTCTACCCATATCGTTACGTTTTATGAAAGTATGTTATAAAGCTCTGACGATATTTAAATCAGTCAGGATAAAGCTTTCTCTAAAACTCCCTAATTTTCTGCCGTATTGTTATGTCTGTGTGGGGTAATGCCTTTTTTCTCCTTAAATAAAACTGAGACTGGCTAAATTTCTCAGGGCACCACTGTTGGGTATCAAAGCTGCAACTTCATTGCTGTCCCCAGCTATCAGGCAACACTAATTAGAAGATAAAATTAAAAGACTAAAAAGAAAAGTAAGACATGTTCCTTTAACGATTCTCATCATATTTGTAAAGTTATTAACTAATAACTTCTCTGTAGGTCAGAACAGAGCTTAGGACGTTCATTTTTATAGACAATCCGTTAGGAAGTCAAAATAGTATTCCGAATGGTAGTATCCAATCCGGTAATCCCGCAACCAATCCCGGGAAGCAGCTGAGTGACAGGCTGTCAGGAGGCCGGGGTAATAGCGTGACAGGTTAAGACTCGCCCGGGGATCAATCGATAAGCTCCCCAGGGAAAAAATCCAGGTAAGAGCAACAAAGGGGAATAATAAAATATTATTTTGGAACTTCCCCCGCGAACAGTGATGCGCCCGAGCCGCTATCGATAGAATCGAACGCTGAGGAAATTGAATGGTTATTGTTCGGGAGCGATTTGTCCCGGATTCGTCAAAGCGTCGAATGGGGCGAGGCTCAGTGGTGCCTTTGTGTGGAAAGTTTGCTGTGTCACTCTATCTTTCCGGGTGAATGGAGTATATCGATTGATTCCGAGTTTTTGTGTCGCTATTTAACAACAGTTTCTGCTTGAAATTTGCGTCCACGTGTATATAAGTTATTAGAAACGCTTTAACATTAAATATGTATAAATTGTTTCGAAGAACTCCGGGATGATTATTTGTATGACCCACAAATTATTGTCCTGGATCTGGGGATTTCCAAGGAGGGTTAACGTCAGGGGGCCAGTCGTAAAAAACATAGTCAAAACCGCTAAGATCATTATTCACGTGTTGTGCCCACCTAGGTGAGATAAGTGATATATCAATTCATTAATATTGGCAAACTGTTTTTAAGATTTGAGGTAGCGCTTTCCGATAACATTTATTGTGTGTTAGTCATTTTATATGACATTATGTACTACGACCACAGGTTTACGAATTTCTTTTAACGAGTTTTCTTTATGAAGATTAGAAAAAAATCTACTGCGCGCTGAAACTAGAATTATTCCATGTAATAAGTCCCGAATTGGCTAATATTCTAATTCTTGAGTGACCTTAAAAGAGTCTATAAAGTTAAGTTTCATAATGATCTAAAATAGTAACCCATAACTCTACCTACCCCTATTTTTAACGTAAGTATTATTGTCATACAACACTCTTTTATCTGTCCAATATAATTGTATAACAAGCTTCTTTGTCTATGTTTATTGAGTTTTGCTTAAATAATTTAACATTTTCATATTCACGTGAACTTACGTGATGTAAATTTATATTTTACCAAACGTCCTAAACTTCACCCAGCCCTACGGACGTGTGCAGTTGGTGTTTCCCATAAATCAGCTTCCGTAGACGTTAGGCACGTCTTAATACAATTTCACGAGTGATGTGTTTATTCGTGGGTTAAAACTTTATCGATAAAAAAAAATCATATTTTATTTTTCAGTTATAAATTAAAAAAAAAACACTTTTTTATTTCTCACACAAAAATATTGACCAAACTTAACATTTCAAAGGGTTGTTATAAAATGTTTATCGATCTAGTAAAATTGATGATCGTTTCCATGGTATATTATTTTGGTTGCGACGAGAAAATTTTAAAACGATATTGTTGGGTCAGAGAAAAATATATCGACAAATTCCTTGTTCGCGGAACGTCATTAAACTACATAAATCATGGAGACATACGCCCTATCTGTTGCCAGCTTAATACGATCCCTGAAACGTCTGGAGGGGTGTACGGCGTGGGGTGGGGGGGGTGCGGGGTGGTCGTTTTTTTACAATCTCCGCATAGGCAAAAAACCGTGCTCGCGGACGTGATATTGTTGTGTATTTTCTGGAAGTTTTGATAGGATATTGCCTTCGACGTCGCCAATCTCATATCTCGGCCCTTGAATATTTATCATTATGTCAAATTCATATAAGATCGATTGTCTATTTCATTGGAATTTTAACATTTTTCGGAGACGTATCAACTCAATGAGTCAGTTCGTATCATCCAAATTAAAATTAAATATTTGATATCATCGCTCAAATAAAATATTGTTAAAAATATTCGAATATTGTGTAAATAAATATAATACATACATAGTACCGTACCATAGTACCGTAACGAATATTCGTTTTCAAATTAAAATTAAAAATTAAATTTCCGCTGCAAATGTGACATATCTAGTTTTCAGCTATTTATCGTAAAAATGTAATTTGCGAAAGTGGGATTGCTGTAAAGGAATCGCATTGGATCGCATCGGATTAAAATCCTGGCAGCGATTTATCTAAACATTTTTAAGTATCATTCGAATCTTCAAATAGGACCTTACCTGTAAGCCATGCGTATCTGCTCTCCGTTCTTGTACCAGATGAGTTGTGCTGGTGGATTTCCTCCTCGGCTTCGGCAAACCAACTCCAAGCTCTGGCCACGTCTCACCGTCTCCCCCTCAGCGTAACCCTCGATGTAGGGCGCTCCGGGTGGATCTGGAGACAAGGATAACAGCATTTAATGTCTAATTACATTTTGATGACTCCGTGGCGCAGATGCCTAGGTATTGGCTACGGCGACGGGGGTTGCGGGTTCGATTCCCACACAGACAGTTGTTTCGCATCCGGGTGTTTGTCCGCGTGAAAATTATGTTTGTAAAACGTCCTTACAACACAGTATAGTGTTATCCTAAAGTAAGAGCTTGATTTTTTTAAAGGAAAAAGAAATTACACCATAATCTATCTGAGTTATGGTGGGTCAGTTTCCCAAGGTACCTCTATAAATTATTTGAAATGGAAATCATTCAAATCCATTGATAATAATTCGGGTTGAATTCAAATGACAGCCTTACTAAAAAGTATACAATGAAACAAGAGATTCAACTTAATTAAAATATAGTCTAGGAGTAGTTAAGGTTGCTATTTATTTTATTTTAATTAAAAAGTGAAAATTTTAACACTTTACTGCCACGTACTCGTCGTAATAATTCCTAATGTCATACTTCTAAAGTTACAGTTCTGAACTGCAAAGGTGGACTATGTTAAAGAAATACATAAAAATATAAAAAAATATCGTCACGATTGTTGAGCTAACAAGTAAAATAACCGTCAGTTATTTAAGGGACCGGTTCAAAAATAATACTATACTACTTCTTTATCTTTCTTTTAAGCATTTCGGCCACCTGCCGTTACTGCGTCATTTCTACCTTCCACGCTCAATTAGCGAGGTCACCCCTAAAGCCTCTCTAATTCCTTTTTCACCACCACCCCTAAATACGAGGAGGATTTCGCCGAGAGCTTTCCGGCAATACAGGGCTGTCGCTAGAGAGCGCTTTTCATCTCCTGGGCTGACGCTAATTATGTGTGACGTCTTTAACTCGTGGCGGTTTGACGTATATCGCTCCAGACTCCCCCGCGAAAAATCCACTGGGCCAATTTTTAAATATTAAATCTCTCCCCTCGTTTCAGTGTTTGCGTAGATGCTCCATTGAGCGAGTCACGAAAGATTCGCTTAACTTTTGCGCACGGTCCTTTGATGGCTCTGTCTTCCATTCCTTTCACGACTGTTTTTTTTTTTCGCAAGACAGTTTGTACATTTTTCAGTTCGTCGACCTTTTTGTTTTTAATTTCGCGCACAGACAGTTAAAGGCAGGCAAAGGCTTTATTTTTGCTTAGCCTCAAAGTCAATTTAAGGCAGCCGATAAGGCTAAGTCACAAATAAAGCCTCTTTTGTGTAACTTTGCCTTATTTTTAGCGGTTTGCAATGTTTATCTTTGTTTTTTATGCCTATGTCTAGGATAAGAAACACACTATTACAGTGTTCTACAGCATGGAGGCAAGAGTACCTGGTAATGAATTTAAGTCGGTAATAAATTGACGTTATTAATGAAATAAAATTCTAACGTATTAACTTAAGGGCTCCCTTGAACATAGATAGCTTTTTCCCATGGATACTGAATAAAACCAGACGGAAACTAGTGCTGCGACAAACGCTATTGTTGATATTAAGCTGCAGTCTATGTTTTTTGGTAACGACTAGTACCTATCCCGCTTTCATTCGCCAATAAATAGTTCTATATTAATATAAACTAGCGACCCGCCCCAGCTTCGCACGGGTGCAATGTATTAACCATACATATAAATCCTCTTGAAAAAAACCGCATTAAAATGCATTGCGTAGTTTTAAAGGTATAAGCATACGTAGGGACAGACAGTGGGATGACTTTATTTTATACAATGTATAGTGAGTACAGTGAGACGATACATACTGACATAACATAATTGATAATCTATTAGCACGTAATCCCACCTGTAGTGTAACTTCCGCCCGTGGCCGGGGATTCCCCTTCATGTCACTTCCTGTTCGTTATATTTTCGTTTCCTTTGTCTCACCTTTGTCATATTGACACCATTTTCCTCGCCCCCACGCTGTTTGCACCAATTTATTCATTTCGTAACGCAAGTAACAAATATGAGGGGACCATGCGGGCAACGTGTTTCGTGTATATTTGTAATTAAACGTACATTGTTGCGCGGTGCCTGCGTATGTTTTATGGCTGCATTCACAACGTTCCGTGAACAGTGGTCTTAACAAAAACGATGATCTTATTAAGAAAAATCACGAGATATATCCTCATGAGCTCGTTAATGTGAATCGCTCTATGTCAGTGAGCAGGACATGACACTTAACTCATGAAAATTTTAATTTGACTATAGGCATTTTTAAAATATAGTTGGAAAAACAAATAACGATACCGATAAACTTGATAATAGGTTAGAGCTAGAAAGGCCGTTAATGTTAGAGCACCTCACATTCTTTGGTATTTAAATAATTATTGATAGTTAATCAATTAAAAAAATTAAGTTTATTGGGGAAAATTTTTTTAACTATAAAGTTATTAAACTCACGTTTAAATTTCATCCCGAGTGCCGATTAATATTAAAAGTAATCCTAAACTTCTTCTTAATAGAAAGATTGTCAATAACTTCTGATGGTAAGTATGTACACTATTATTTATTTTCTTAAAAACTCACTGCATATACAGCTTGCACGTGTATTGTTTTAACGTGCTTTCTATGTTCTATGAGAATCCTATGAGAACGTTCGCTGCACCGTTGCAGTACGGTGTAACGGGCGGCCGCATATTAGCGCTCGCCGCGCCCCCTACGAAGTTTGATACGTTATTGTTTGCTCGCGAGCGACTTTCGCCGTAATTAAAGATTCACGCGCGGTCTGTGCGAAACAGCTTCTTTGTTTTGAGGTCGCGCGTTGCGGGGGACCGTGGTAGCGGGGAGTGGGGCGAGGGGGGGGGGATCGATTGTCATCGCTTGTGTGTCACATATTTCTTTGTTTGATTTCTTGAAGGTTAGTACAGGCAAACACATTATATCGTGAGGAAGGGCATCTTAATACGAGAGTGTATAAATATTTGTGTAAGTGATACTATCTATATATTGAACTAGCGACCCACCCCGGCTTCGCACGGGAGCAATGCTGATACTAAATGTACTCTACTATACTGCATGTATTATACACATAAACCTTCCTTCTGAATCATTCTCTGTATCTAGTAAGAACAAACCACATAAAGATTGGTTGCGCAGTTTTAAAGATCTAAGCATACATAGGAACGGACAGGCAGACTATGTAGTGATCCTGACCGAATCTTGTTTGAATGATGCTATCATTTGTGTTAAATACTTATGTTAATGTGACAAAACTTTAATTCTTACAAGTTTATGTATAATAAAAAAATGATTCGCTTTGTCAAAGTGAGCTTTCGATTCGAGATCGAATTCAAACAATACTGGCGAATTTTTCGTCATCCCAGTCAAAATTACCACTGCATCTTCCGATATAAATTAAAACGGCGTCGAGCCGGAATCCTTCATTTATATAGTGTTCGTGTATTTGGGAAAACTATGACTAGGCGCAGTTGCTAAGCAGGATTCGTTGATTCTTTTACTACAAGCGATAAGTGTTTGTATGACACACAGTTCCTTATGTACCCACATGAAGTTGGAAAAATGATGGAATTGACTCCAGGTAGGTCTCTTAAACCCCAGCCAATACCATCACTACATAGCATAAAACAAAGTCGTCCCGCTGTCTGTCTGTCCCTAAGTACGCTTAGATCTTTAAAACTACGCATCGGATCTTGATGCGGTTTTTTTTACCACATAGAGTGATTCAAGAGGAAGGTTTATAAATGTGTAATTCATTGCATCCGTGCGAAGCCGGGGCGGGTCACTAGTTAACAAATAAAATCCATTGGATGTGCCGACCCCACTTAGATGGGATAAGGCTAGGAGATAAAAGTAGAGATGTGTTGGGGAAAAGAATAAGTACATTTACCTCAAAAAGCTAAATTAGTATTCTGACAACTGTTTTCAAAGTCGGATTACGTTTTTGCGTGAAATGCTCCGGAATATCATTCTAACTGTACTTAAGGAATACGTAATGATTGACTAGACCACGTAAAGATTGATATGCTTTTGCAAAGCTCCCAAATAAATGTTTTTCTCTTTATATATAAGCTTTTCAGGGCTAACAGTCAATTCCTTACTTTTATTCACAGAGTGCAAAGACAGGAAATTGCAAGATAGATGGCAAGTGAGCGCATTATTCGCCCGTAAAATGGTTACTACAAAGTTAAAAAGAAATGTGTGTACAATTATATTGGTATGTTTTTTATGAGAAAAGTTGCCAAACGAGCAGGTGGTTCACCTGATGTTAAGTGAATACCGCCGCCCATGGACATCTGCTACATCCGAGGGTTGCAGGTGCGTTGACACCTTTTGAAAATTGGGCTCTGGCTACCTCACTCCCCAGACGTAACGCGAAAATATTATACTTCCACTTTACGCTGGTCTTCTGTGAGGTCGTGGTACTTACCCGGATGAGCCTGTCAATTCTTTCAACAGCCGAGGCTCCTGCGTGGCCCTACCACAGTTATATTTATGAATGAGAATATATATTCGTACAAATATACAAGATGACACGTTAGCGCGCTTGGTAAGCTATTGGGTTCGGCGTGGGGGAATCCCACAAATAATCTCAAACAATCATAACAAAAACCACTTACAAACTGATTCACAGGATATGCCGATTCCACGTAGGTAGAATAAGGGCAGGAGGATGATGATGACTGTATATATAATGTATGTATAAAGTACTAAGTTTATCTTTAACTTATTGCACTAGCATAAAGATGTCACTACTGCATATATTGACTTGTAGAGAATGCTTCTGTTGAATGATGTAGTAATTAATGCAATAAACAATAGATAAATAAAAAATGGTGATGAAATTACAAACGGGAAACGCAATAGCTTAGACATAATCTCTGGCTTAGACACCCTCGTTTTAATCAGATTAATAACTCCATCGTCTTGCTGATATATTTATGGACGCTGGAAATTTATTCCACACGCATAAATGCTAGCGAAGCCATAAAAGTGGGTTTAGATTCTATACTTGTATTAGGGGGTGCGAC